AAGCTGTCCAGCCTGAAACACTCATATTTATAACTTCAGTATGAGTGGGCAGAGTTGAAGTGCTGTAGGCTGAATAGGCGGTTATGTAAACGTGATGGTTTGCTTTACATCACAAAAACAAATTCGAAACAGTCTGTATTTGCATCTTAGTTTCCATATATTGACTGAATGGACTGGTGACTGAAACTTTAACAATGTGTACAGACGACATAAACAAGTGAGAGAAAATAAATTTCCCATGATACAGAACCTTTAAGCCTTTACTTACTGAAGGCCCACTTAAAGAACTGAACAGCCAGTGCACTAAGAGCTCTACCTTCTTGATATATGAACCTCTAATTAATGCACATGAATTGTTTCCATGTGAATTATATTATATATGAACTGTACACATCTGTAGCACAGCCTTATGCCCTCTAAAAGGCCTCGCTCTGCTTTAAAAAACTAAAAGAAACATAAATGTGTCAATCGCCAGTCGCTACTTAAACTGTCGTCTGGAGGATAGTGATCAGCTGGAGATTCTTCCTCCCCGATACTTTTCCTGTCACAGCCTTCATGTCCACAGAGCAATCAATCTACAATAACCACCTCTACAGGCATCCGATCACACCAGGACCCTCGTCCAGCACAACACAGCTGTGGAGAACACGCGCCATCACACACACACACACACACACACATGCAGGTACACACATTCCCATCTTTACCAAATCAGTTATTCTGAATTAAGAGATGTGTTTACTTTACAATACAAATTCCGATAACAGACAGAAAAACCTTCTTCAGGTGACCTAATGCTCTGACTTTTTCTGGCAAGCATTTTTCTGTAGACTAGTTTGTAGACAGAATGTCTAGCTGTGCTATGCAAGATTTGGAGCCCTCTCTGGTGGAAATCTGTAACTGCACCCCCAATGTGTGGAAGAACATTTTGGAGCATGGGTTGTGCTTTGGCCCCCTTCACTGAGAGGATGAATCTGATGATTGAAGGAGAATTCAAAGAGAACTCAGTCTAAACTTGGTGAAGGAGCGTCTTCTGAGGATGTGAGTGTATTATCTACTACTATCATCACATCTTCATCAATATATGAGATCCCTGAGGACTAAACATCGGACCTTCTTTTTGAGTCTGTGCGTGTGAGATTAATACTTAAAAATGCATCACATGGTTTGAAAAACTTCCACAAGGCCTTACAGGGCGACTCACAGCAGTGTCTGACTCAGTAATGCAACTTCTTTCAATTTTTTGCCGCAGCTTAATCAATCACATAATAATCGCATATTACACACAAGTAGGTAAGTTAATGAATGCATTAAAAACCACTGGTTTATGTTACCATGAGCTTTTAGAATGCTTCATATTTATTCTAAGCGCCCTCTTGTGGATTTAGGTGACATAACATAAACTTAGGCTGAATCAAACGGTTCCTCACTCTCTATGCAGTACACTGTGTGAGTTATGAAATTTTCTGCCTTCAAATAGAGCAGAAAATCCAGCAGGGAATGGCACACAGGTGGCTGGATCCCAAATGACTCTTTGCTGGACATATTATGCACTGTTTGGGTGCAGGAGCCATCATTTAAAGACCTACATAGTGCACTATCCAGGGATTAAAAGGCTGTTTGAGATGCAGTCGTAAAATGTTCCATTTATCGCAGTTTTGTATCCCAGTCTTGAAAATTCATCTGAGAAAACCCCTCATTCAGCATTCAGATCTCACCAGCTTAAACAGGTTCTCCTCCTGCTCAACTCAGACCTTCTAGATCTTCATTCCAACCTTAAATTGATAGTTCAGCTCCACATTTCCACCTTAGCCCAAATGTAGTCAGTCCAGTCCAGTTTTAGCACTGGAGCTATGAGGCTAATGTGAGGTATGAGCTTTCACAAATAATGAAAGCTTATACCCCACCAATAAGCATAGTGCTAACTGCTAATTATCACACACTTGCGTGTAATAGATTTGTGGTTTCTGACACTGACTGACACTGTTATCTGACAACACTGACAAAATTAAGGACAAACCTGAGGCTTTAAGATGGCTGCACCTGTTTTTTAACAATGTTAAGCACATTTGTCCATTTTAAACCCAGCGTTTGGGTCTGGCGTTCAGCTCCACCTCAGCTCCCAGATTCACTAAATCAGGAATGCTAAACGCTGCAGGAATGCGTCTTCAGGAGAAGCACTGAGCAACCTGCTCTAACATTTCAGCTCCAGCAGATGTAGCACAAGAACAACACTGTGTGGGAGTGAAAGTTGTCAGGAACAATATTTCGTGGTTTTGTCTTCTTTCTCTTAAGAATCCTGCACTGTTAAAGGACCTCATATGGAAAACACACAGCTCAACACAGCGAAACAAGAGCCTTTTCATAAACACTGGATCCACTGGAGCATCTGCCCATTATACGTTTTCATTCAGACCGAAGCTGATTATCACCAAAACTGAAAGCATGGCTAAAGATCACTGAAGGCTAGCAAGGCACGAAAAGGAGTAATTAGCATGGCTATGTTAATCGTGGAGTTTCAAGTTCTGCTAGCTTCTATTCAATTAGCATAACTATGCTAATTTATGGGACTCCTGCAATCCTCTATTAGTTGTTAGACATGTTAGCATTTGACTCCTCTTTTAAAAGATGTGTCAAGAGTCTCAAAGCTTTTTTCTTGACATTCTGTTTGCTGTCCTCGTCCTCTTGGCCAGAGCTCAGTGGTACACAAAAAAGAGGAGATATGGAGAAACAAATACCCTACAATAGTAACAGTAACACATCGTTTTAACCAACCTACATAGGGACTTCATAACACATGCATAAGCATGAATTACATATTTAAAAATGGACACATTAGTGTTTAGAAACAGCTTGAGTCAGTATTCACAAGATGACGTTTTATGAAGTAAACGGCGCTGTACTGGCATAAGGGGTCATGGATATTTGTTACATTTATAACACCGTAATGAAGCATCATTTTCAAATAACAGAAGGCAGAGGTCGGAACACCCTAAATCAGTCCTCTAGTGTGATAACATCAAGCTAAAGTGATCATTTGTACTTTACCTCAAGTAGAAATATACAAAAGTAATGTTAACTAGGCCTCTGCCTTCTATTGCAAGGGCATGACGCTTCATAAGAGTGTTATTTATCTTTCAAAATATTATAAATTTATGCCGGTACAGAGTAATTTACTTCATTAAACATCTTACTTTGCAAATACTGGCATAAGCTGTTCATAAATACTCTAATATTTGCTTTTAAATAGCTTATTCACTGCTTATGCATGTGTTATGAAATCCCTATGTAGGTAGTCTTCAAATAAATCACTGGAGCTACAAGAGCCACTCTGTCAAATAGTGTTGATCAGTGCTCTAGATAAACATTAAGAACAAAAACTAGGACATTTGCCATTTAGTTCTAGGTATATTGAACTGATTTATTCCAGAACCTATGAAGCTTCACAGTGCAACTTCTTTTTTCTGTAAAATGGCGTTGATGGTAAAAAAAAGTCTTTTTTTAAACCCCTGGCATGACAAGGTTACAAGTCTAACATTAAAAATATCCAAGGGTGACAGTTCCTCTTCAACATTGGAGATTAAAAATATTTCCTGAGGAATTACCAGCACTACCACTCCTCTAAGTATTCCATAAAAGCAGGGGCCTTTCTGCTTCACACATGCTTTTAATGAGCTGTTTATACTTCCCACTCTCATTTTCCAAGTTTTCTTTTTGCCCTTTCAGGCCAGCACATTACTTTTATTCAGAAGCCAAAGTGCCTCCAGTTAAATTAAATGTTTCAGAATTTTAGCTAAAAGCAGTGCCCAGTGGTGACGGGTAACAAGGACACCATGTATCCTCTTTGTGTACGCCCCCTAGTGGCCATACCACCGACATTGTTATCAGACAAACTAGGTCACTGTTGACTTTCTGTTTGTGAAATGTTGTGACATTTTGTGGTGAGAACACCCTGCTGTGAAAAACATTCACACCTCTAAACTAAGACAGCCCTGCTGAGATAAACCAGACAAAGACAGCTTTCTTTATACCAAGCATTTCTGTACAACTGGCAAAAACATTTAAATCCAATAAAACACATAACTATATTAAATGATGACTTGCTTGCTCACCTACGAGGATGAAGATCCAGTTTGCTTCGGTTTTGTAAAGTATACAGATTTCCATCGAACTAAATTCCATCTAACAAAGTTAACGAAGAATAAAAGGGGAGGACTGCTGAGGACCACCTTGAAAACAGATACAAATTACATGTTATGGCTACTGTGAAGAGGAGCTAAGCCAAGTCAGTGGAGTTAATTTCCATCCAGAGTCTCACAGTAAGAAAAAAATGACATTCTGGAAATTGATGTCCACTCAGCTACATATAAAGTCCCATGGAAACCATGGAAATCCACACTGTGAGGAGAGGAGTGTATAAATGAAAACCAGACAGCCGACTGTCATCCCTCTGGACTCATAAATGACAATCCGAACCATGTTGGTGAGAACGGTTGTGTTACACAGCATCGACTTCCACAATACTAAAGACTCACTTAGCCTGAGCACCGCTGTTTCCAATTAAACCGAAAATGAAAGAACTTCAGTGTATACTGTTCGTGATTAGAAAACAGGGAGGACATTACAGCTAATTACCCAACTCTTAATGAAGTGCTCGAGCTGTAGCCCGGAAGAAATGGATTTGGTCAACCTGTCATGAGAAGCTGTAATGAATATAATAAATATTTCAACAAATAATCAAGTTGTTCATTACTGCACAGAGCAGTGACAGAGTAGGATGATTAGCAATATCAGAACAGAATCAGAGTAAACCATCTGGTCGAAAATCTGTTAACATTTTCCAAAACTGAACTTCAATCAACCAAACAACCAGGCCAGGTCAAGCGTAGGAGAAAACACAATGATGAAAAGAGGAGTGAGGAGTAAAGCAGATGATATAAAGAACGAGACAGAAAAAGGGACTGAGTATCATAACATAGAGGAGGCTCTCTTTCTCCTACCTGGTGCAGGTGAACCCTGACTTTGTTGATGGCCTTCAGCCAGCGGAGGCGGGAGAGAGCAATGGGAGGAGATCTGACCCCAATGAAACTGAGCGAAGAAAAACAAAACAAGACCCAGAACTGAGGATGAGGTGCGTAGGAGAGAAACAAAAACACAAGTAAAACAATGCCTCAAACACAATGACTTGCTACAAATTTGTGATTCCAAAGCACTTGGATACGACAAGAAGTCAGTATTACCATCATTATTACGATTACAACTGCAGTATAGTTTAACCTCCTAAACACATGCACTGTAAAAAATATCTGAAATAGCTGAGATTATCGCAAATATGTCTCATTATAAGAATGTTTTTAACATTTTTACTTGTCTTTAGACAATTTATCTAATGAAACTGTCTTATTCTATTGGCAGATACTTCTGCACTATTTCTTGAAACAAGCAAAATGATCTGAGATCACTGGCTCCCAACACGGTCACCAGATAGTCCACATTTGTCCTACGTGTTGGAGAAAAATGTGGACCATCTGGACGAAGCTGAGGACGGGAATCATTGTTCTAGATAATACTGCAGTATATATAAGTTATATACTAGATTTACGTTTTTTCACTGGCCAAGAAATTAAAATGAAGAGATAAAATTCCTTTAAAACTACACACAGTTCACAGAGCTGTGCCATCTTTACTATTCAATGTGTACTTTGCTATACTGTCTAAAGCCAATGTTGCACAATCTCATGCTCAAAAACTTCATTTAACATCCTTTTAAACATAACAAAAGAGGTAATTACATGGAGACCAGTAATAAGCCTCTCACATACCTTTCTGACTTCTTCCCTTGAATAGCAAGTGGTTTGGCAGGCAGGGTAACCTCTGCTGTCTCTTTCTCCACACTCGTTTGTATCTCTCGCTCTCCTTTCTCTGCATCCTCTGAGGATAGCTGGGGTTGGGCTCTAAGAGGAGGTCTAGACCTGGTGTCTGGGTCACTCCTCTCCTCTGGTTCAGAGCTGAACTGGGAGCTGCTCTGGCTGAGGTTACCGGACGACCCAAACCGTGAGCTGTCCGCCGGGCTGAGGATGCAGAAACACAGGAGGTCACGACCTTGTGGCTAGTGTGGGCTGAAAAGCTAGAGTGGGGTTTAGGCCAGAGCTATTCCACAGAGGGCTGCGTTAGACTGACACTCCATGCACCTGATTAATTGGTTTGTGTCCAAATAAATGGAAGGTACTTATGAACTGCACTGAATTTGCATATGTTGACCATTAAATTCAGATAGTTGGGTGCTTTGTCAGGGCAGTTAGCTAAACCATGCAGAGCTCAGTGGAATTGCTTTAAATTAGTTTAAATCAGTTTGGGCCACACTGGAGTACACTGGTGGTCAATATGGAGGCTAAGCATGATAGTTAAAATTATGTTAGGAATAAGAAAATCAAGGGAATGAAAACAGGTATGCAAAGATAAAGGAAAGCTACAACTACAACTCCAGCCACTACTGTCACAACACATAAAAACATCACTACTGTGTACAACGCATAAAAACACTCTACCTTAGCATTTTACATTTACGGGAAAGCTGAATGGGACCTCATTGGTTTGTTTTGTGTTATAGCAGGTCCTCTACTGTCATCTGCCCTGTTGAACTCCAGTGATTTACTTTCCTTTACTTTTGGCAAAATTACTTCTGCCATTACCTTTTCCCCAAGCTTATAGCATAGCCTACGCCTCTCTCACTTTCCTGTCTGCATAAATCTTCCATCATTCTCTTGATGTAAACAAACTGTCCAGAGCTGAAGGAATGATTCAGGCAACCTGAAAGGAAACAACCCACACACATACTAGAGGAAAACTAATAAATAAAGACTGCACTTCCATCAGTGCCACTTAGAGTGTTTCTACTCTAGCCCATGGGCAACAGACCTTCTGTAAATGATTTATTTTTTGGTCTCTGAAACTTTTCAGCTGGATTTTTTTTCTCTGAACATAAAGATTATCTGTGTGTGTTTGAAGATATTTTACTGTGTTAGCCAGAAAAAGATAACTGACAAGTTCACAAATAACTTATTTTAAACACCCTAACATTTTATGTTTTCCACCTTCTGTTCTAAACATCATTTTATCTAACCATCATAACCAACATATTTCAATGAATCTATAGCAATACTAAAGGGGAGAGGCTAACAGAGCCAACACAAATCAGACTACAGCACAGGGGGGTGGAGGACAGGGGTCACAGTAAAGGATAAACAGCTTCAGCACAACTATTCATCATGTTCCTACTAGCCTTTTGTCAAGCTCTTTTGAAAGATGGCTCTCTGGTAGTTGTCCATGTTCTGTAGCATCCCTGTCCTTATCTTCGGGAGGTGGAGCAACTTCAGCCTGGGGTTTATTTTGTGTTTTGTCTTCAGGGCTGGAAATGTCCTGCTTTAATGCTACAGGACCTTCTGGACCCATGTCAAAACTTTGCTGCTTATCTGAAGAGATGTCACTTGGTCCCTCCATATCACTTGGATCTGCACTTTCTGTTTCATCTGATTCTGATGATAATATATCAGTCTCTGGTGCTTCTTCATCATCTTCAGTTTTCAACTCTGCTGGTTTGGCCTGTGTAGTTACAACTGCAGGAGGTGTCTGAGGTGGTGTGCTCTGCCACGGGAAGCCTATTTTCTTCCCAAACATAGATGCAGTAGACATGGGTTCCTCCTTTGTGGCCGCTGGCTTCTCCTCTTGGAAGAGACCAGCAGAGAGGCCTTTCAAACCAGAGAAAAGACCCCCTGAGTCAGGCTGTTGTTGAGAGGGCTTTATTTCATCTGATGAAGCAGGGGTGGAGGACCCAAACAGAGAACTGAAAGGCTTTGCTGTCTCAGCAGCACCTGACAACAGACCTCCAAAGGAGGGAGCTGACAGGCCTGGCAAATCAAACATGCCCTTAGCTGGAGGTGAAGTTGGATGTTTCTCCTCAGTATCTACTTTTTGTGTTATTGTTGGAGACATTACAGGTTCCTCTGGTTCTTCTAAGGTCACATTAGACCCTTTGTTCAAAACCCCTGTTTCAGATTTTTCTTGTTCAGTAAGTACATTTGTGTTCTCACTGGTTCTATCTTTTGCCTCTTCAGCAGACATAATGTTGGGCTTCTTGGAATCTTCCACAGTTTCACTGATGTCTGTCAGCTCTTGCTCCTGTTTTTCAGTGGGTAAGGCTGTTGCTTCAGGTTCATTTACTGTACTTGACTCTTTGTCAACAGGACTTCCTGGCTCATTAGAGTCTTTTGTGTCAGCTCGGTTCTCAGTCTGAGACTTGCGAGTCTCTGATGCAGACTTGCTCTCCTCTGGTTTAGCAGCATCCATTCCCTTAAATAAGCCAAACAGATCACCTGTCAGGGACTCTGTGGGAAGACCAGTGGGTAGGCTGGTGGGGAGGTTAAAAAACGAGGTCTTTTGTTGTTGCTGAGGACCTGTCGCTGTAGCAGTCTTGAAGAATGATGTTTGGGGTGTTGAGAAGAAACTGGAGCTTGCTGGCTTGCTGGAAGCACTTGATCCAGAGAACATAGACATAAATCCAGAAAATCCAGCTGGTTCAGGGGGCCTCTGAGGTCCAACCATCCTTGGTCTAGGTTGACCAGGCATCCCAGGTCTAGGGCCTTGTATTCTAGGTCTTGGTTCACCAGACATTCCAGATCTAGGGCCTTGCATTACAGGTCTTGGTTGGGCTGTAGGCCCTGGCATTCTTGGTCTAGGTTGGTCTGAAGGGCCAATTAACCCTGGGTGAGGTCCTGGAAGTCCTATGATTCCTGGTGTGGACTGTGGTTGCTGTTGAATAGGAGCAGTAGGCTGTGGCTCTGGATCTGCTTGAGCTGTTAGTTCTGTTAACTGGTTTTCTGTTCTGGCTAGTTGTTTGCTCTCACCCACCTTCTTCTCCAGCAGACTCTCGCATGTTTCTTTTTTAGAAAGTTTGATAAGGTCAGCATCTTTGTCTGTTCCAGAACCACTTTTCTCTGACTCTGGGCTTGCTTGAACTGATCCTTCTGTTAACTGTTTTTCTGTTTCATCTTGCTGTTTGATTTCAGCCAGCTTCTCTTCCAGCAGATCCTCATATGGTTTGTTTTCAGGTAACCCGGTATGGTCACCCTCGTTGTCTGGTTCAGAAGTACTTTTCTCTGCCTCTCCCTGTTTTTTTGTTTCTTCTATTGTCCCCAATTCCTCAAGCCTCTCACTCTTTGCTAATTTATCAGTTTCAGCAGAACCCACAGAATCCACAGATTTGTCTAATTCCGGTGGTCTCTCTACTTCAACAAGTTCTTCTGATTCAATTGGCTCTACAGATTCCAGTTTTTCAGGCCCTGAAGATTTTTCAGGCTCTGCCATTTTCTCTGATTCAAAAGGTTTGTCAGATTTTGATAGCTTCTGCACTTCCAATTCTTGGTCGGGATGTAATGATGCAGAAGATTCTTCTACCATGTCAAAAGTTGAAGGTTTCTCAGATTCTAAAGAATCAACTGATTTACCAGTTTCTTTGTCTGTATCTACTTCCAATTCCTTGCTCTTAATTTCATCAGTGTTCATTTGTTCAACAAGTGGTTTTTCAGCTTCTAAAGTTGGCTGTTCTTGAGGCTGTTCTTCAGGTGGATGAGTCAAAGCTTCGGCTTCACATTCTGACTTCTCAGTTATTTGATGATGGGTACGTTCAGTTGGCACTGAGATTTTGTCTCCGGCAATCCCAGCACATTCTGTATTGACAGATTCATCTGTTATTACAGTACTGACATGTTCTTCATTAAATGCAGACACATGCTCATTTGGAAGATCTTGTCCAGCTTCTACCAGTTTCTTTTGTGGTGTTGTAACATCTTTGATTCCCTCAGCCACAAGAGAATGAGAAGTTTTGCTGCATGAAGATTCCTCCTTCAGAGTGGCTATATCTTCAGGTATGAGTTCACCAGTTTTCTTATCATCCATAAAAGACAAAAGGCCGAACCCACTAGATTTCGGTTTGTCTGAACCTCCTCCAAGGGAGAACACAGAAGTAACTTTGAACATACTTTCTGACTCAGAAGATTCTGGAGGACTCGGCCCACCAAACATAGAAAGTAATCCTTTACCTGTTGGCTCTTTCTTAGCAGTTTCTGCTAATGCAGGAACAGTTTGAGCTGGGGAAGACTGAGCACTTGGTCCACCAAACATGGAAAACAAACCAGGCCCAGTATTATCTTTTGGCGTGGATGATCCAGGCAGGATGCCCCCAAGAACTGAAGACCCAGAAGCAGGTGGTTTGGGAGGAGCTGTCGCACCAGGAGCTGTCTGCGTAGTAGGCCCACTAAACATAGAAAACAGTCCTTTTCCTTGAGACTCTTTGGGTGGAGGTCCCCTAGGTGGAGGGCCTCCAGCAGGGGGACCTCTTGGACCATGTCCTGATTGACCTCTAGGCCCAGGCCCTGGAGCACCCCTGGGACCAAGTCCTGGTGTCCCTCTTGGACCTGTTAATAGTGGTCCTCTTGGCATAGATCCTGGTGGACACCTTGGGCCAAATCCAGGTGGACCTTGTGGGCCAGATTGTGGTTGAGTAGTACTTCCAGCAAACATAGAAAACAAACCCTTTCCAGCTGTTTCTTTAGGTGCAGGTGCTAAGGTTGACTGAGGACTACCACCACCAAACATTGAGAACAGACCTGTGCCAGGTGTTTCTTTGGAAGTTGAGGAGCTGGGAAGAATGCTACCAAGTATGGATGATCCACTCTGAGTCTGTGAAGGTGCAGAAGATGAACCACCAAACAGTGAGAATATACCTTTGTTAGAGTGCTCCTCAGCAGCAGTGTTAGGTGGTCCAGTATGACTGGCAGATATTTCTTCTTTTGGTAATGCCTCTGAACTTGCCACTGGAGTTCCTACTGACTGTGTTTTTTCTAATTCAGCTGCCAGTCCTTCTGAGATCGACTGCTGGTCCCCAGTGGACATGACCAGTGTTGTGTCGGTGGGTATTTGCTCCGTTTGTTTGACTACCTTTTCAGGACTATGTAACTCAAAGGATTCTGTGAGGGGCAAATGCTCTACCTTATGAGTTAGATGTTCTGGGCTA